ACAGGGCTCCACGAGAGGCCAGCAGTGACTTAGCTCATGCCTCTTCAGAGCTGGAGTCAAAGCCCGAGCCTTTGGCTGAGCGCCAGATGAAAGGGTTGTTCTCCAGAATCCAAGTGGCACCGACAGACCCTCGAACCATGAGACACAGGACGCTCACGGTAGAGGCGAGGCGGGAGGGAACCCAGAGAGACTGAAAACTCCCTTCTCCCTGCTCACCCTCACGCTCATCCTCACCCTTGGGGACACACGCCAGGACGGAGGGGGGAGGGGCACCACCTGCTATGTGACAGGGAACAGGTTTGGGGACAGAATCAAAGTAATGGCTGAAGAGAATGGCTGAGGAACACAGTGGGTGACGTAGGTGGCGTCAGGTGTTGGGGGCAAAGAGGAGGGCAGGGGGCCGTTCGATTTACTTATTTGGGGTTTACTGTTACCAAAAGAATGCCTCTCGTTCTCTGAGCTCAATCACCCAAGTCAGAGGCTCCCGTAGCGGTCTTTCCTAACGAGCCTCACAAGTTAAGTCATCTCAACTATGAACGACGCTCGATGATCATCTGAAATTACGAAAATCTGCACCTCTGCTTTGAAGCAATGCACACTAACACTTTGTTTTAATTAATTAATTTTTTAAAAAAGATTTTATTTATTTGACAGAGAGGGGGAGATCACAAGTAGGCAGAGAGGCAGGCAGAGAGAGAGGAAGGGAAGCAGGCTCCCTGCTGAGCAGAGAGTCCGATGCGAGGCTCCATCCCAGGACCCTGGGATCATGACCTGAGCCGAATGCAGAGGCTTAACCCACTGAGCCACCCAGGTACCCCACGCACTAACACTATTGACTGATGGTGTGAGCCGAGGGTCCTTAGGGTCCTTACGACTGACAACTGTGTGCAGATGGTGGCCACGAGGGCGTTTGAACTGCTGGTTCTGGGTTAAGCATTTTCCCTCGTAGTGTTGTTCACCCTCCGTAGCTTGGCCCAACTTCCCTTCGAAAAGGGAAGAAAACTTCCATCAGAAATTCACCCTGTCGGGGCACCTGGGTAGCTCAGTGGGTTAAAGCTTCTGTCTTCTGCTCAGGTCATGATCCCAGGGTTCTGGGATCGAGCCTCTCATCGGACTCTCTGCTCAGCAGGGAGCCTGCTTCCCTTCCTCTCTCTCTGCCTGCCTCTCTGCCTACTTGTGATTTCTGTCTGTCAAATAAAATCTTAAAAGAAAAAAAAAAAAAAGAAATTCACCCTGTTACAGAACTGACACACTGTCTCACCCTAACAAGGGCCAGGGACTCGTGACTCAGGCAAGTGGGGCTTCCTAGACTCCCCTGGGGCAGCTCTTTCCACCAGTCCTATGAAAACACAACTCCCTCAAACTGGGTTTTAGCTCACGGAGCATGCTTGCTGCTCTGAGGATGCAGAGAAATTGCAGGAAATGCCCCGCAATGTGCCAAGGTGGTACAGTGGCCCCCTAAGTAGGGGACTTGGAGAGGCTTAGGTGGGGAAGTGAAGAAGGGAGTTTCCAGTGGCTCCGAGTACACACGGTTGTCAGAGAAACACTCTGTTCCTTTTCTCTCCAAAGAGGATGGTTCAAGAGGGACTGGGCTTAGCAAGACAGGAAAGATGCCGGTTAAACTCATGAGAAACCTTGCCTGCTGGTCCAGGGAAACGTGGGGACTGACTGCTGCAGGGACACGTGCACTCTGCCTAGCCACAGCCCCACCCCGTGGCTCACCAACCCAAAAAGTGCCACGGGCACTGGAATTCTCCTGCACTTCCCGGGGAAGGAGAAAGCAGCATTGAGCAATGGCCATGGGCCTGGGGAACTTTCCAACATCTCTAATTCTGACAAGACCAGTTCTGGAGGCACCCGGCTTGGTTCCCATCACAGAGATGCCCCAGTCGCCAGGGGTGGGTCCTCTGACTCTACGGGGCTGGTGGTGATGTGAGGAGTCAAGGAGACGAGAGAAGGACTGACAAACATGAACCCAAACCACCTGAAGTAATTTCTAAACATTTTTATTTCAAATCTCTTTTCACCCCTCCCCAAAAAGACATGGGTCAGTACAGCAATCATAAAAAGGAGATACAAACACAAGAGTCCAATGTCTCCCGCACTGACACTTACAAAAAACTGGGAGTTGTACAAGGGGTTTCCAAACAGGACCTGCAGCAGCTACTAACGTCCCTTTTTAAGAGTCACACATGCCTATTAATACAGTATATACAAACACCCGGTTCTGGAACTAATCTACAGGGACAGCCCAACACCCACCCATCTATCCCCAGAAAAATACCAAAACACACCCAAAGTGCATTTGTTTTGTTTATATCAAAACATCTTTCCCTTCTCCCACCCCACCCGCAGACCCTCCCACCCCATTTAAGATTGGCCTGCAAGTCTATTTTAACCATTTAGTAATTTTTTATAGTTTATGAAAATAAATTATACAGCAACTATTTTAATAAATTAAGCACAAAAAGGGGGAAGAGAGGAGGAAAACGAAACGGGAAGACAAAAGCCAGGCCACGCTTTGGCTTGGAGGAGGGCGGGATGGGGCGGCGCATGAGGACAGAAGTGGTTGCAGGGGTGCGGCTCCCCTTCTGGTGAAGGGCTGGCAGCCACCCTGAGCCCAGAACGACACCCCTCTTCACAGAGTTTCTTAAAAACAACCAAAAAATGTACAGCAGTGGCCGTGCCACAGGCAGTACCAGTCTGGGCATCCCAATAACCGGCCTGCCCACGGAGCGGTGCCGGGATCATGCTTGTCCCTTGGAAAAGGTGCTGGGCGGAACGGTGAGAGGGCAGGTTCCCGTTCAAGGGAGCACTAGGGATGGAGGAGCCAGACCAGCCTGCCCGCCCCACCTGAGCCGGGCGGGGCAATGGATGAGCTCCTGGGTTCTGATCAACAGAGTCCTTGGTTCTCTTCACACCCTCTCTCCAGGAGCAAAGATTGCAGTCCGGCTGCAACCAGACATTCACGTCCTCCCACCACGGCTGGCTGCTTTTTACCTGCCCCTTCGCACCTCTTGGCACTTCGGGGGCGGGCGGGGGAGGCGGGAGGCAGGGAGCAGTTCCAGGGACCCTCTAACCGAGATGAAATGAGCGTGAAGGCAAGTCACAGACTCAGTGTGCAGGACTGGCTTCCTAGAGGTAGATGGGAGTGGGAAAGGATGGGAGGACAGAGGACAGCATGGGAAGCAGGAAGAAACTGGGCTGGCACCTACCAGGAAGGTCAAGAAGCGATGAAAACGACAATGACAGTATGGAATCTGTATGCAAAGAAAGGTCTTTCCCTGGCAGATTAGAGAATCAGTATCTTAAATACAATTCCTTACTCTGTTTTTCTATAACTGCAGCACCTGAGTCCCCCAGTGCCTCCATCTCTATGGTCCAAACCCCACCTCACTCCTTCCAAGGCTTTGCTCTCCATCTTCTCAAGGCCTCCTGTCCTTTTGTGCTGAGCACGAAGGCTCCGATGTCAAAACAGGATAAGTCACAGGGACTGGCAGACTCAACTTTGCCTTCTTGAGCATTGAGGCTCACTAATCCTCCAGCTATCATGGGGGGAGGGAGCCACACTTTGCTTTCTTTCTCCTTTTTTTTTTCTTTTTCTTTTTTAATAAAAAAGATTTTACTCCCCAGGAGCAAATAAATCATTTTGAACTACTGATAAACACTGCTGCAGTGAAAAGAAAGATGGCTACATGTATGCAATAGCACAAATTCAGTGTAAGAACAGCTGTGTTGACAATTAGAGCTAAAAATCAGTTATCCACCCCCACCCCCCCCACAACAAACCAAACCAAGAGGATTCCCATAGGGAAAATGTCTAACTCAAAAGCTCCTCCCTTAGGGACAGGGGGCATGTCATTCTCTTTAAAGTGGAAAACAAATGGCAGGTCTCCCCACAATGGAGAGGCTTTCAACACCCCAACTGGTAGCAAGACCCCTGCAAATGAAGACACACATGCGGACACACACACACACACACGCACACACACTGACTTTCAGAGCTCCTTCCTGCAGCCAGAGAGCTAGATCCCAGCACCTCGCCCTCCATTTCCAGGGCTCAAAGCCAAGGCAAAGGAAGCAGGGCAGGGAAAGGGTCTAACCTAAGGGAAAAGTCTCACCTAGCCCCGTTTCCTGCTGGGACCTGAGGGCTTCAAGCAGTCTTGCCCTTTTGGGGGCCTAGGGTGAGGGCAAAAAAGGCAGGCACCCCGGGGCATCCAGCTCTACTTTTGGCTCTCATACCCGGACATGTGAGCACTCAGCCCCCTCCCGGCTCCCCAGTTCTTCCTGGATTGTGCACTGTAGGCGGGTTTGCAGCCATCTCTGCGGCACTCCCAACCTTAGGGAGGCTGACACCATCAGCCCCTGGGGAGAGGGAGGAGAGGAGTAGAAACCCTAATGGCGAGCTCCCCACCGAGCCTCTCCTCTCAGAAGCCTGCATGCTGTGGGCCGTGGCTCACATTCACTAATCTAGGCACAGGCTTGCCACCGGGCCAAAGCCATCGCCAACGGTCCCAAACTCCCAGCAGTTACCCACTTACCCAGTCCTCAGAGCAAAGCCCCACCCTCCTTATTCTGTGCTCCTGCCATAGCACTTGAATTTCAAGCAACAGCAAATTGTAGCAGTAGTTGTCACTTAGCTCACAGTGGTTCACACCTGTCCTGAGGAAGGTTACAGTAGATCAATCACGAACAAGTAAGGGTCACACAGGCAAGGACCCATTAATTGTGGGTTGTGAAATCGATGATGGGTCCCTGGAGGTGAGAACCTTTTCCAGTTTGTGACTTTAAAATACAACAAGCAAAAAGGAACGAGTTGTGGACTGCATTTTGATTAGCACGACACAGAACTGGCAAAGGAGGAGTGGGCCCAGCCTGGAAAGATGAAGGGGAGTGCTGGCGACAGAGCAGCCACTCCTGTTCCCTCTCTGACCAGGCAGGCCGCATAGCCAGCTGCCCCACTCCCGCCTCTTCCTCCCCTCACCTCCCAATGCAGCCTATCTCTCCCTGTGTAACTGTCTTGATCTACTGAGGAAGGTCTAGGCTATAGCCTGGGCCATGACTAGCACACACACAAATCACGGACACATGTGCATACTACGCTCTCCCAGAAGGAGAAAGAAGGATGGTGGTGAGCTTGGATCATGCCTCCTCAGCTGGTTTGGTTCTGGACCTGATTGCAGGAATTGTCCAGTGGAAACCCCTGGTACCACAAGGGGTACAAGGGCTCTGCCTCCCTCCCTGGACTACACTGAGAGCAGTGAGGCCCCTGGCCACGGGCAGGAACCAGCCAACTTCTGGCTTTGGATTCCACTTCACCATCACAAGCCCTCAGCACTGAGACTTGCCTGATGACTAGAAGTTTCCATCGAAACCACAGGCCCTGAGAAAGGAGTGACTGACACTGTCGCCTAAGCTGGGGCTGTGTCCTGTTCAGAACACCCTGCAGATTGCTGTTTCCATGTTTCTGTTGTGTGTTTTTCCTGTCTGTCTTACCCTCGCCTAGGACCCGAAGGCCTCACTGCCACAGAGCTCTCCCAGACCATATGGTCTGTCCTGATCTTACCCAGCTGAATTTCTTTAAAGATAGCCCTTGGTTCTTGCTGCCACACAGAGTCATTCTGCAGCTGCTGCACGTGGGGCAGTCACTTAAAAGCTCCCTTAGGCCAGATATGGTGTCTTTCCCCTCTTGTGTTTCCCACAGTATCTAACCCAGAGCCAGGGAAATGCATTAAAACACACTATAAAAAAAGAATCTTTTTTAAAGTATGGGTGGCTGAAATGTCTAAAAGAAAAAAGCCCCAAAAAACCCAAAGAGCAGCACGTCAGCTACTCAAGGATCCCGATGGATCGCAGACTGCGGGCTCTCGAGTTGGGGGGCACTTTCTGCAAGACGGCAAGTTCATCCGCACCCTCAAGAAGCAAGACTCACAGGTTCAGCCAATTTCCGGGACCACTGTCTTCACTGGTTGGTGACACTCCCACTGGACCCAAGCAGAAAAGAGGTGCCTCATGACAAATCAGAGGTGGGCTATGTTTATGCCACGAAGCTCATTTTGTGACCCCCTCTTTCCAGACAGAAAACAATGCACATTTCCTTCCTGTCCCACTATAAGGAGGAAGACTGGTCATTCTATGCAAGACATAAGGCAGAAGGCCAGCGCTTCCAGATGAGGCAGTCCTATAAATTACCAAGACACTGGGGCCTCACCCCAAACCATCAGGAAACCACAAACCTGAAGATATCATTTATCTCATGAAACGAGGCAGATATAAACCCAGGGGAACCAGGCAGGCTAATGGAACATGTACGAAAAAGAGCAGTAAACACGCAAACAGCTCAATCTTCACATCTTAACAGCAAACCTCTCCCCAGAGTAACTCTACAGAAAAGCAAACTCATAATATCGTATGACTTGACAACGGCCCACTTCAGAAAAACTCAACAACCATGAAACACAGCGGAGCTTCACCCCCCCACTCCACTCCTCCATTTCTGTCTGGAAGGTGGACAACTCCCAAATCAGCACCAGACAGACTTCCCAATGAAGGGGGAGGCAAACAGGATCAGACTCGGGAAAATGTTTAGGTTGCTAGAAAAAACAGGAAAATAAAAAAGCCCTTGCTACCTCCCATCCCAGAAGTGGGACAACAGGGATAAACCTAAAAACACGAGATCCAATGCTCTCCTCCTCTCTGATCCAAAGACACTCCATTAAGGCTGAGACACTGGAGAGCTTCTCGGAAGAGCGCTAGCACGAGAGCTTCGTTTCTCCCCATTCTCCATATTCCCTCTCACTCGCTGAGAGACATATGGAGGTAAGTAACACTGACTCCTAAGTCATGGGTACAGTCTGCCATTAAGAATCTGGAAGCATGCTCCATTAACTTTAGCAGCTCATGATTAGGGCTCTCAACCGCTCAGGTGATGAGGAAGTCGATTGCTCTATTGCCTTGGCAGCTGGCAGAAGCAACAGGAATGATGCTACCATGATCAGAGTGAAATGTACAGTTATCTCAAGGGGAGGGGAGGAGGGTGGAGGAAGAACGGGACTGACTTGAGGTCACAAAACTGAGGAATTCAGTATGACAAAACTAACACAGCTTCTATGAGAGGTGACTCTGAAACCAGGTTCCTAAACTTTAAAGGAAAAGGATGTGAGGCATCCCTGCTTTCCCCCCAGAGGCCCTCTGCCAGTTCTTCTTCAGCAATCTTCTATTCGAGACTACCCACCCTCGCTTCTTCCCTGCTCCCACTGAAGCTACCCATGCTCAAACAGAAGAGGATCCTCATCCCTCAGAAACTCCCAACTCGATTTGCACTTCTGACTCCTTCTCTTCCCTTCTTCAAGGTCAACGGTGAACACTCACACTCCGCCTTTGGCACTGGCTGAATGACCGTCACTGGCAATCCCCTCCCTCCCCTCCCCTCCCTCGGACCTGGCTCACCCTTGGCACCACTTCCAGTCCAATGGGCACAGACCCCAGCTGCCTTTAAAGGAAGTTTTCCATACCGAGAAATGCAAATATCCAAAACAAAACATCTAAAAAAGGAACAGTGTTGAGACTTCTTCCAGTTTTCCGAGGAGCTCGTCCAGCTCCAGGGTAGCGCAGGGGCTGGGCGTGACGAGGTGGAGCCCCGCGCACAGAGTGTGGTCGTGTGCTTCTTCCAAGCCCCAGGGCTGCGAGGGGGACCAAAGTCTTCGCACGGAGGATCTCAGCCCTTCCAACTCCCTCGTTTCTCCTCACTCCCCCTTCCACAGTAGCTTCATTTGGTTCTTCAAAACTGGAGCTTGGCAACCAAATGCCTAGGTGAAAAAAGGAAAAAAATGAGAGCGGCTCAATGGAGTGGAAGCAAATGAAGAAGAGCCCAGCCTCGGGAGGTGGAAAAGTACAGCCCCAAAGGAGAACTCTGGATAGCCAAAGGCTTCCACAAACCGTGGGGAGGGCTCAGGATGTAACAACAGCACTTGCTGGGGGACCTGAATAGCCCATGACTTGGACGCCAAAAAAAGGTCCTAAAATAACTGACAAATGTATTCTGTCCTATCGCCTCACTTCTATTTTCCTTGCCCCTTAATGTTCCACCCACTTTTTCCCCCTACTCTTTTCCTGAGGCTCACCTGCTCCAGGGACTAAAAAAGAAAGAAAAAAGAGGTGCCTGGGTAGCTCAATTGGTTGAGCATCTCTTTTCTTTTTCTTTTTAAGATTTTATTTGAGAGAGAGCAAGAGTGAGAGGTGGGGGGCAGCAGGCCCCCCACTGAGCAGGGAGCCGGACACCGGCTCGATCCTGGGACTCCAAGATCATGACCGAGCTGAAGGGAGACACCCAATCAGCTGAGTCACCCAGGTGCCCGAGCGTCTGACTCGACTTGAGCTCGGATCATAGTCTGAGGCTGGAGAGACTGAACTGAGCGCAGAGTCAGCTTAAGATTCTCTCCCCTCCCCCTCCCCCGCTCGCTCTCTCTCTAATAAAATCTTTTTTTTTTTTTTTTTTAGATTTTATTTATTTGAGAGAGAGGGAGCACAAGTAGGGGGTGGGCAGAAGGAGAGAGAGAGGCAGACTTCCTGCTGAGTACGGAGCCTGACGTGGGATAGGGCTGGATCCCAGGACTCTGGGATCGTGACCTGAGCTGAAGGCAGACAGTAATTGTCTGAGACCCCAAGCTGCCCCTAAATAAAATCTTGAACAAAACTGGAGTAACCCCTGGTGAGCCCAGCTGGGAACAGCCACAGGTCTCTGCTGCTTCCGGCTACTGAAGAGGACTGACACAGTCACAAAGGCCAATGTGGTTTCTGATTTAAGAAGGGCATCGTCCCACCTACCGCTCTGTCTGCAGACTCCAAGCCCTCCAACATGAAACTCCCCAGGTAAGAGCACGCACAGACCAAGTGGCCCACTCAGAATTCCCAAATTAACATCAGCCTGGCCGACAGGAAGTCATAAGGGCCAAATTCTACAACATAAAAGATTCTCCCTTCATGAGCGTCACTTCCCTTTTTTTCAAGGGGCCCTAAAGTCTACATGAGGAGTGAGGACAGCAAGATGCTTATTCTTTGCCACAGACAACAATCCTGGTGTCACACACACCAAAGACAACCTGAGAGTTCATTCAGTTCAACCCTTTGCCAATACATGACCGCCCCTCCCCCACACTCAAGACAGTTGGCTACCCCTGGCCTATCCCTCATCGGATCAAATCCCTTCCCATCTCAGGGCCTTTATACTCACTGGACCCCCTTGCCCAGAACGCTCTGCCTTGATATTCAGATGATCAGCTGAGATTTTCAGAAATGACATCTCCTCACAGGGGCCTACCCTCATCACCCAAACTTGAGTACCACTATCCCACCACTAATCACTAAATTCCACCAGGTTTTATTCCTCGTAACAGACGGTCAACTGCAATTAGCCTGTTCACTTCTTTACATGCTTCCTGTCTGTCTCTCCTCATGAGAACGGCAGCTCCGCGAGGTCAGGGCCATAGACCACCTCGCCCAGCACGCTCTTCCCAGTCCACACTGGGGACTTAACAAGTACACAGAGCTGAAGGCAGAGCCCCGTAGGGAGCTCACCAAGGCCTGTGGAAACCCACTCCGCTTTTGGACCTGTCTGGCAAAACAGTTCTTCTGAAGTGGGACTAAAGTCGAACTCCTTACACCTTACATCCATCATGGCCCTTGTCCTACCCCCAGAGCCACACAGGCTAAGTCTAACCACCCCCGCTTCACACTTCTTTCAGCTAGCAAGCCCCTCTCACCCCGAAACGTCTCGGCTCCGTGTTAGTCATTTACTCCTTACCTGCTGAAGCTGGGAGCGCCGCCCCCCAACCCCTGCGCCGAGCCCACCTCTGACAGTGCTACTGGGGAGGGGTCCTCTTGAGGCACAACACCCACAGCGGGGCTCTAACTAGTGGGTCCTGATCCCTCCACAGCGGTGTGTGTCAGCGCGCCTCCCTAGCTCCTTCCTACCTTCCCATCCTAACTGCAGCCAAGCTGCCAAACAGAGAAAACCCCCAGCCGTCAGAACATTTGGATGTTTTAGGAGTTGCTTCCGAGGGGATACAACTTGCATATAATCGAAGATATGACAAGACATACACCCAGTCCAGGATGCTCTAAGTTAAAGCTCTGCAGTGTCCCAGAGTTAGGATTTCTTGATCTCTCTTCTTTCATTCTTTCTCTCCTTGTTAATCTTTGTTAGCCCATCTCGAGCGCTTTCCCCCACATAGAATAGAATCAGGGACTTCTAGAGCTAAGAGGGGAGGCACACAGCTGGGTTCACCTTAGCCACGGCCCAGGAAAACCCATGGGGGCATAAATGCCAGTTATCACGCTCTCCAGTTACGAAGAGAGCAGAGAGCGTAGGGAGATGAAGATTCCCTTCATCCTCAGACCGTCTCACTGTGGGTTTCTCCCCTAGTTTGTTTCGTGTGGGAGATGGCGCTGGGGAACAAAGAAGGTTGGAGAGGAAGCAGACGTACTCAGTGCGCAAGGAGGACAGCCTACACGAAGAGTAGATGGGGTCACCGCCCCTGGCGGGTCATGAGAATGTGAGATCTCACAGGTAACCCAAAGCACCAAACTCATGACTCTCTGGCAATTTTGTTCCCTACTCACCTCTACCTTTCAGTGCCTCCACGAAGGCAGTTTAAAAGACTAATTAGAATCAATCTGCACAAACCAGTATTCCAAGATATTTTATGGGGAAATTAATGAGTAGAATTCAGTTAAAGTAGTGACGGGAGAAGAGCCTCTTCGATAAATGGATCCCTTAGATAATTCACTTAATCTTTTTGATCGTTTACTCTTCAGTGGTCCAGGTGGAACCCTCACTAGAAAAGACAGCTTGTTTTCCTCACCCTCACATTCCAAACCACTGGACCTGGAAGTTCTCACTGAAGTGCATGCTGTTGCGATGAAAGGCACGTTTGTGTTCTCTTTGATGACATTATCCTTCCCTTTGGTTTCCTGTTTTCCATGTCATTTGTGCAACAGCAGGTAGATAAAGTATGAGAGAAGGCTGCACACTTAGCTACATTTCTGTGTCCTCCTCCTTGTTTATATTTGGTGGTTAGCTTGCACGTTGCTTGGCAAATACATTTTAAGTCCCTCGTGTCTATCTGCTCTTCTCCCATTTGATGTATGTGCCTCCTGGGGGACCCCCATTATCAGACTTTGTGACTTTCTGGGCAGATGCCTGGATCAGGAGTATATGCACGGGGTGTGGGGGAGGGAGGTGAGGCCCAGTGCACGACAGTAACTGGCCGGGAAGAGACTCGGCTGGACAGTGAGGCAGTGAGCTCATACCCTTGGTGGCCATCAGCAGGGGGCCCCTTGCTACGTGGAGGGTTCGACCTCTTGCTTCTGTTTGGAAATGAGCTGCGCTTCCTTTAGAGACAGGTACACCTCTTCCTGAGGATCATAGTAGTAGAACTTTCGGATATAAGAGATCAGAGGTCTATGAAAAACAAAAGAGGAATACACATGAAGTGTTATTTGCAAAGACCATAAGCAAAAGACCCCCTCTGTTCAAGCCCTCCTTCTTCTTCAACCCCTATATGGCCGGGAATACACGAAAAAACCTCGGCCGACCTAAGAAACGTGCCACATTCTCACTTGTTATAGGTCTGTCTCCCTCCCTCTTACCACCTCCATTCCACTCTTTGTAGAGACTGCAGAAGGGAGGCTCACACACACACACCCCTTCCTCCCTTCTAGCTGCCATGTGACGCTTCTAGAGTTAGGTGCTAAGACACAAGAGAAGTGAGAGGAGGATGCCTGTGAAGGGCACCAGGCTCTGCCTGTGCCATCAGCGGGCAGGCCTCATTCACATTTCTAACTACACCTCCATCCCTGCCCCGACCCACAAGACCCCGTTGTACTTAGGCAGTGGGAGATCTGGGATGTGATCTATCCGGACGAGCTGTCGGATTCGGAATCTGCAAAGGTGCTGGAGGGATTTGACATTGCTGAATCTAGACACAGGGTAGAGCAGCTGGACTGGAGTTGGTGGTAGTCCTTCAAGAATGAAAACCAAGACATATTCAGAAGGAACAACGCTGCTAACTACAATCCGCTTATGAAGCAAATCCAGGGAAGGGAAAATAGGCTTCTTTATAGTTCTCATGTGCGTTCTGTAGGGTGCAAAAGCTCCCTTCCACAAAGAACTGATTTCCATTTGCTGAAGCATTACCCCTGTATTTCACTCAAGGGACTCAATCTTCTTCTGCCAAGGGCCCCCCAGCATCACTCTTCACAGCTGAGAGTCTCGCTCTTCAGAACAGCCCAGTGAAAACCGCCAAGCTAAAGACTTTACTTGGAGCCACGTGGCCAATCCCAGGCCTGAGGCTCTCCGTCAAGAGCAGGAATCAACGTACCCCTGCTGGGAAGGGGGGATACTTCGATGGAACATCTAACAGCATCCTGAGGAAGAACTCAGAAACGCTTCTCAGAGGGGTCCCCAGCCAATTCCAACTAAGAGGCTGCTAAGCAGAAGGCAATGGCTGGGATCAAGGCTACAAGCCCATCACTCCTGCCATTTACTTCAACCCCCCATTCGCCTCCTCCCGCCCCTTGTGCTCCTGAAATTTTGGGCTGGATCCAGGAACAGGGAAAAAAAAAAAAAAAAAAAAAAGATGATGCTTTTAAAAGAAAACCAACGATGGTAGCTTGGGGAAGCTGGAATTAGTACCACTCAGTGCCAAAGTGCCCGCTGCCTGATGCCAACCAGGCCCGACGGGAGCCCCACCCCCTGCTTTCATCAGCATCAGCAGGCTCGGTGCTGCGAAATTCCAGCCCCACCCAGGGGTCAGTGCCACAGAACGGAGACATCCACAATGGCAGGGACACTGAAACTGGTCCAGGGGAACAAAGAATATTCTGGTTTCAATAAACAAAGGGGCTACAGAAGGTAAATAAGCAAACTGCTCTCAGAAAGAATCTGAGCTGCAAAATCTCTGAAAGAGTTCTCTTCTCGGCCGCTGTCCTATCAAAAGAAATTCTGAGGACACAACTTGTTGGAAAATAACATATCTACTGTTTCAGGAGTTTAATTTCAAACATTTTAAAATTTTGTTTGAAGGGGTGAGAAGAAAAAAAATTAAAGCTTGCAGGTTGTCTCCCAGAGCCTTGGCATGGTCACTGATAACAGACTTTCTAAAAAAGAAAAAAGTCAAAATACGTATTACACTGTTACTAAGCAAGTAGGATTGACTTTAACACATTTAAGTCATTCAGTCTTCAGAACTATACTTTGAGGCAGGTATCACAATTATCCCCATTTCACATATGAAGAAACTGAGGCCTACTGGACTCAAAGAACTTGATCGCAGCACAGAACCCACAAAGCCGGCCTGCCATGAGCATCCGCTCTGTCTGAGGAAGAGCTGAGCCCACAGAACCTCAAAGGAGGGTTCTTCAGGCGTCTCCCCAGAGCATCTGCCCCTCTGCTGTCTGACGAGGGCGCTGTCCATGACAGCTCCAGCACTTTGATTCATGACCAGTCTCTCTCAGGCCTCTCCTTGCTCCTATCCCTTCAATTCTGGGGCTTATCCTTTGAAGCACTGTAGCCCTCTTCCACCCTCATGAATGGTCCTCTCTGCTCACATACACACACACATACATCACACATGGATTTCTCTCTTCAATATATTTAAACTCAAGTGGTTTTAAAATGGTATTGGGTTCAAAGGCCTCTGAATTTACCCTCTCTCTCCTATGTTTAAAAAATATTTTTTAGTAAATTAAACTTGAGTAACTAAACTATGACAAACAGAAAGCATTTGCGGGGCGGGTTGTAATAATGCTAAATTCAACATGATGTTTCAAAAACAAAGGTAATTTATGTATCTAATTATTTATTCCCAAAGACACAGTACTATCAGACCTGTGCTTAAAGAGATCAGGATAATAAGTAGCATAAAATTATCTGATTGTTTGCCTACTTGAATTTTAATGACCATATATACTTGCCTATTTAATTGTGTTATTTTTAGCCTTGGGTTCACAAATAGCAATTTGAAACCTGTTAATTCTCTGATATTCCCTGGGGTCAGCCTGACCACTTACTGTTTGCCCCAAACGAAGCAAACAGCTGGAGCTCTCACATCCAGAGCATGTTAGCAGAAGAGGTTAGAAATGGAAATAAATGTGAGACACACACCAGGACAGCAGAAAGGGAAAGGGTGAGGTGGACCGTGACCACCAGGAACCTTCCTCTGGTCGTTCATACCAGGGTTCCTGGGCACCAATCCAGTTTCTGGCCACTTCACTGTTTTTTCTCTCCCCAACAAACACCAGGTTAGGGGTGACAAATCTCTTCCCAAGTCTGAGCATTCCCACACACAGGTCATTCTGCCAAACCAAACTGTTCCCTGAAGACCAGAATTTTCCGGGCCAAAATGTCAATAGTGCAGAATTAAGAAACCCTGGGACACAGGGAAAACCTGTCACTGAACAAATAATTATCAGATTAATGATGGTTATGAGAGAGACCAATTTCCTTAATGTTGTGCAATTCAAAGTGCGATGAAAAAACAAAAGGTATTGGGGTGCCTGGCTGGCTCAGATTAGCGTGCAACTCCTAATCTCAGGGTTGTGAGTTTGAGCCCCATGTTGAATGTAGAGCTTACTTAAAAATAAAATCTTAGGGCACCTGGGTGGCTCAGTGGGTTGAGCCTCTGTCTTCAGCTCAGGTCATGATCTTACGGTCCTGCAACCGAGCCCTGCATCGGGCTCTCTGCTCGGCGGGGAGCCTGCTTCCCCCTCTCTGCCCGCTGCTCTGTCTGCTTGTGATCTCTCTCTTTGTCGAATAAATTAATAAAATAAAACATAAAATAAAATGAAAGCTTAAAAAAAAGTTTTTTCTCTTTATGCACTTCACAGATGATAAAGGTCCTCCCAACTAAGAGAGACAGATTCACTTTTGAATTTTGGCTCAAACAGCATCAAGGGTTCTGTGCTAATCCAATCACAGTCTCTTTCTGAGACTGCTGCCTGGTGGACCAGACTGAGATGCAGACAGTGACCTCAGTTTTGTTTCGACCATGCTCCTCTATTAAAAAGAGATAAAGCAGAAACCAAGATTAGGGGCCATCATTTTTATTTTTACTAAGGGTCCCTCCCTTGATGCCACTTACTCCATTTATTTCAATTCATTTCCTTCCTTCTGCTTCTGATTCGCCACCATCCAGAACTTTTCTGTTAGTCCTAGTTTTATGATTCCCATGATCCCTGGCATCTCTTTTAACACCAGCCTGCAGGCCCTGTTAGTGCACCCCGCCCTAGTGCTGAGCCGGAAAGAAAACCTGACTTTGAACCCTGCCTCTGCAACTCCCTGTACCTCAGTTGCTGCTGTTGCTGGTGTTGGTGTGTGTGTGTTTTAAGCAGGTTTCAGGCCCAGCATGGAACCCAGTGTGAGACCTGAACTCACAACCCTGAGATCAAGATCTGAGCTGAGATCAAGAGAAGGACATTTAAGCGACTGAGCCACCCCGGTACCCCCACTGTACCTCAGTTTCTTAATCTGTATCAAAAAAAAGAAAGAAAGAAAGAAAGGAAAGAAAAGAAGAGAGACTGTAGTATCCCTTTAAAGGATTTTGTAAGGGTTAAATGAACTAACACCTGCCCTTGTAGGCATTGGGTTATCATCATCCCGAAGTCTCAACAAACAGGCTCCTTTTAGAATCCACTGACTGGTGCAGGCTGAGAACGCTCAACCCAAATGCTAATCACTACCTCTTCTTCACGCCAAGTCCCTCACAGAATCAACCTCCCAGAATGCCTCGACTTTTACGACAAGCAGAGGACAACAAACAATGGTAAAGGAGAATACTGGCTTTGCTTTTGCCTCAATCCTTCAAAGAGAGGTCACTTATGGTGTGGGAGCAAATACGAACTCTGCTTTGCCTTCTCAGCTTGATTACAGTTTTAAGTGCAAACAGATATCCTCTCTGGAGCATTCCTCACAGGTCCTCAAAAGACATCCTCCACTAATAAACACACTGCTGACTTCCTTATGCAGTCTCCACAAATCTCCGCGAACTCAGGTTTCAATTTGCTTGCTGTTAGTTTTCCCCAGTAACAGACTGGCAGCAGATAAAGCACAGGCTTTGGAGTCCGTTGAGCCTGGGTTGGAACTCTGACTTGAGCCCTGATCGGCTAAGGGACCTCCCGTTGGAGCCTCTCAGCCTCAGTTTCTTCACTGGCAGATGAAAACGGTCTTATCTATCAACAGACCAATCTATTAGCTAACTTTGGGTTGTTGTAAGAAATGCGAGCTGTTAGAACCTGACAAAGTAACTGGCACAGGATACACAGTCAATCAATAGTAGCAACCGCTACAATTTCGAGCCCTTACCAATGTTAAGAATCTTGGTTAAAATTTCTGCAAACAGGGCACATCTGTAGAATGAAATGAGCTACAGCAGTGTCTAGGACTCTGCAAAGTCTCTCAAATACTCTACAGGTAGTTACATGCTCCAGATTCCAGAATCCTCTGAGACGATCTCCCTGGTTCACCCATAAACAGAGCTGCTTCCCCAGACCTTGTCAATCATCCACCACCAACCGCCATGCCTTTTACTGAGTTCTACATGTGCTCTTGCCTTTTTCTTCCTACCTGTGCTCTCTTTGAGGCTATGAGATCTCTAAAGGTAGAAATGTGGCTTATTTTTGATACTGAGTTACAGAATAAGTGTTTCTTAAATAAATAACCTCCAAAACCCACAAATTTTAAAAATTACTAGTCAATTCCTGTAAGAAAGGATTCTAATTTTTCCCTTTAACCAAGTCAACTGCACAAGATCCAACTATGTTGACGGCACTGAGGCAAATACGAAATGAAGTGAGAATTAATACAGTTCTCACCCTGTCATGCTTTATTTAAATCACCAAGATTATAAAACACATTCCTGTAACCTGGCTCAATTCTGTTACTGATGTTCTGCCTGGGGCTCCCCTGGAACTTCTTTTTAGAGCAATTTCTTGGCACACAGTTTGTTTAAGAATCTTAATTTGATTCACTGGGAATGCATGAAGTTCTCATTTTAAGTTCTGTTTGTATCTTACAAATCCCTCAATTAATATGCTTGTCATTTTGCTTTTCCCCAACCTTAGAAAAGCAGACAGACTCCTCCAAACCACCCCTTCTCTACCCTCCGTAGAGATGATACAGACAGCTCCCTACTTTGTGGGCAGAAAGGCTATATAACCACACCAATAAGGACGGGGGATGGGAACTACCCAATGCTCCCAAATGGAGAGATGTCTTTATATTTGTCGCTGGCAGAGATAAAAGACACAAGAACTACCTAGTCTTTAATAACGAGTGTCGTACGAACAGACAAAATCCACAGTAGACGGCCACTGAATTCAGCCTCTCTGCCACTCACCATGGCCTTTCTAGTGAATATACTCTTTTACCTGCCCTGTTCCCGTAGAAACAGCCTGAGCAAGTTCTCGCCTCTCTGCTTCACATGGAAGCGTGAGATGCCTAGATCAGGGACAGGGGACACCTCTGAATGTTAAATATTCACATGTTAAATATTCTCATCCGTGTGGTCTGAGAAGCAGATTCCTTCTCAGTATGTCAAAGGATTAATGCTCAGGAGCAGGGACTTAAACACTGGACTCCAGGAAGAGCGGCTGCCATAAGAGCCAGGAAAAACAACATCAAGGAAGTGTAGCTCTTTCCGGGAGGCAGGGGGACACATGTTGATACGACACTGCATGATGCCCAAGGAAGCTACATAATGTAACTCTAGCCTCACCTGGAACCCTGGATCTCAGGAAATAGAGGAACTTCCCATTCTTGGAGTGCATGATGGCTCTCTTGATGAATTCCACCACCGACTGACAACGATCCTCAAACTTGGGGTGACACCACAGACTGAAAGTTCCTGCCATGGAAAATTAGGGAGAGATAAAGATGTAAAAACTTACTTTTAAAGCATCTGGGAAGCTTACTTGAACATTTTAACAATTTGCAATTCTGGGAGGGTCATTTGTGGGCAAGCAGTCAGACACAGGTCCCTGAAGCCACCTGTTCCCCTCTGCTCCACAATGAATGGAAAGAAAGAAATCCTCTTTAATAAGACATTAGTATAAATACTAATCCTTAAATCACAGACCATTAAAAAAGACTGCCACAGAAAAAGCCGATTGAAATGCCATCCCCTCAGGAAGGTCTGTGCTCAAGCATTCATAGAATAGTCAACCAAGAAAGGAAGAGTAGTTTTGCAAATCTCATTCATGTGTTAGGCACAAAACACCAAATTCTAGTCTTTTCTTCTTTAACTTCCAAAGCTACCCCCTCCCCTGGTATGTTGAAAAGATCCCACCCCAAACCCAAAAGCAATAGGGAATATGAACTCCCGTGACTAAAAACAAACCCAAAACTCAAGCACTAAGTGCAAAGGAATCACCCACAAAAGGGACGGAATCCAAGAGAACTACAGTTCTGAGTCTCTCTAGCTACTCTTACAGTATCACTTAAAAAGATGAAGACAAATGCTCCATTGCAAACTGGCAACTTAAAGACCCACAAGGCTTCCATTAAAAATTCCATTTATTCAAGGAAGAAAAGCCCCTTTGAACAAAAAGTAACGGGAGCACCATGTGAAGGTTCTCTCCTTACTGGCCTCTCGCCTATCAGGGACCTTAGAGGTCAGGCATTTCCTGTCTCATGGCCGAGCCATTCATCATTTTCATAGACTTATAAAAATACCTCATTCTGAAATGCTTTACTTTGCAGGGTATTTTTCTGCTGGTATGATTTTGGCCTTTGGAAATAGCAGGAGAGCAGGCAACAGCCATCTAACTAATTCTCAGATCTGTGGACTGATGGGCCTCTCTCTTCGTGCACCTTTAAGGCAAGGGTGGGGACGGAGGAAACCATGGACAGAGCTATGCTGGCCTAACATGCCACTTCCTGCCTCACATGAGAAGCAAACCAAATAAATACAGCACAACACGGCGGAGAGCAGAAAAGACACAGCGGGGGCCAAGAAAAGCCTGCAAGAGCAGCTAACACAGCTTGTTGGAGGCTGATCCCTGAAACTCCCCTAAGTTCTCTCCACTTTTCAAGTTTGTGACACAGGGAGTTATTCGGACAAAGGATGTAGGAACCAGCCCGGCCACTGCTGACCGCATGAGTTTCTGGCCCACGTCAAACACAGAACGCCACGACGTAAAGTCAATCCAGACAGCGGGGTTGAATAAATCCGCTCCTAGAGGTGACTGCAGCATTCAGCACCAGCTGAGCACAGAGGAGGAGAGACCCCTAGGGAGAAAGGCAGATAGTCTAAAGCATGTTGATCCCACAAAGTCTCTGAGTTTTGATGGCTATTTCCTAAGAGACCACACAGGTGACCTGAAGAAATTATCACCATGCCGTCTGGGAGGAGGAGCTGATGTGACTCTCAGGCAAAGAAATTCACTACAGGACGGTCACAGGGTAAACACTAAATTCTCCTCTTTGTGTATAGGATTATAACAGAAGTCTCTCTCGACGTTAAGTCTAATTATGTTTTCTTTATTAGCTACAGCTACAGCAATTACCTACATAGAGGTGAAAGTTGAAGCGACATCATTCGTTAATTCTAACTATGAACAGAGGCTGGGAGAATTTGTGGAATGGTCCTAGGTTATTTCTTCCTTCTATCAAGAGAGTTCTACGGGCTTTGCTCTGTTTGACAATCTTGTTCAGGCTCTCCTCTTTTGCAGAGAAATGCTCAGAGTATTTTCCAAGAGAATCGTTACCTTCCTCCCTACCCCAGCCAACATTCACTCTAGGGCTGAAACCAGCACCCATAACAACATTCAATGGAGCATGATGAGATTTTCCTCCCAATCCGTAGTTCCACTTCCATAAAACCTTCCCACACAAGGCCAGACAGCAGGAGTAGTGACCAGCAAAGGGGGAAGAAGGCTCTCCCCAAACGGCAGCACCTCTTACCTCTGTAGTGCTCCATTCTTGTGTGGTGGGTGATACCCTGTGACCGGAAACTGAGGCTCAGGATGTAGCGAGGGTCAGAGCTGTCTCGTACCAGGAAAGAGCCGTCTGGCTTCCCTTTCAACTTCATCTCTGCATCTTCCCAATTCATTGGTCCCCAGTACCAACCACACTATCAAAGACAGGAAGTGGTCAAGTACTTCACAGCATGGGGGAAACGGGTATGTTTTCAGCACAATCTATTTTACTGCAGGAGAATCCCCACCCTCCCACCACTTCCAAAACATTTCACTAGGTAAGGGCTGCTAACAGTGTCTTAACCATTAGCCACCAACAGCAGACTCATTCTTTTAGCCCTCCAAAGTAACGGAAGAATAAGCCTACAATCCCATTACCAAGGCCTACAAGGAAAAGAAGAGGGAACTGGGTCAGTTAATCTGTCAAAGTCAGCTTCCACTATGTAAACAGTTCTCCACGACCGTTCTTCACCACATTCAAATGTTTTTCTCCGTGATTCGATTTTCCAACGTCCCTTATGGAATTGATCATCGCAGCATACTGCTTTGGCACTGTAAACACAGAGGCAAGAGAACTACTCTTCCTCTAAAAATAAGAAAAGGGGAGCCCAGGACAGAAGAAGTAGAGTGGGAGAGGAGGCCAGCTGCCAGTCTCCAGGCACCGCCTACCTTCTCCAACTCTCGAAGGCTGGCGGCAAAGCTGCTTGAGTCGGGCCGGTAGAGGGGACACTGGAGATGCTGGGGGGGCTGGCTGTGCAGGGATTCAGCTGCTCGGATGGGAGCCGTCCGGGGAAACGCATCTGCTGGGCGAGAGGGGGGCAGTCACGTGTTCACCCTCCTGGCTCCCAACCGCGAGCAGACCCTCCCTACCCCCCAAAACAGAGATGCTAACTGAAGAGGGGCAAGGCATCAGAAGCTAAGCTGGAAAGGGTGGAAGCCAAAGCAGTGGGAAAGAGCTGGATGGACTGTAACAAAAAGCTGTGTGGGCTCGTGTAAGCTGTGAAAGATGGGTGGGGGCGTCTGACCCCAAGAGCGGGGTGGGGGAGCTGCTCACTAACCTGACTAAGGTGACTACGTCAGGGGCTTCACCAGCCTAGAGCGATTCCAGCTTCTCCCACCTCGAGGTGAAGCGCCGGTAAAGCAGCCTTGGAAATAGTGACTCGCTTACTTGCCCAGGAAGGGGCACGATTTTGCCAGGCAAGTAGGAAAGAATGCCGATTTCATTCATTTTACTCCTTGGGTACTGGAGGCTGGCAAAGCAGGTGTGGGCTACTAAATGCTGGGTACTTATTTACAAGGCTGCAGTAAATACGGAAAGCTTAGAAACACCAGAGAACCTTGAAAACTTTAAACGTTCTCACCATTTGGAAATTAAGGCTGTCTCCTAAATGGTATCTACTCAGATTGCAAAGCAGTCTCAGCAGCAAAGAGGTGAAAAATTCAATAGTCTTTTATCCCTAACAAAAGTCAGATTCACCTCCACAGGGAAAATGGGTTAGAAAAACCAGTTCTTGGCCTCAATTCCAAGGAGTTCTGGCCCAGCCAAGGGGATAAGATTTAAGTGTTCTCGTAAGTCCGATTATTTCCATAAATAGACCTCTCCCATCCATCAACAGTCTATCACTTTGTACTCCCAACCTTTACAAAGCTTGCCTCTATACTAAGCTAACCTGGGGCATGGGGTGGAGGAGGCGGAGGTAGGGGGAAAGACTGCAGGGAAGACCCCATCGGAGCCACAAGGACAGATGTAGGCAGCGTCCCACTGATATCATCTAGAAGAGAGAACAGAAGCAAGAGGTTCAGAAATATGAGCACAGGTGAGTGAGGTGAAGCAGAGGCGAGGGAGAAGGATCATCAGGCTGCCCTCTGGAGCAAGATGGCCTGACCTTCCCCCTGTCTTTCTGCACAGAGGGCAACAAGCATCTTAATCTGGTGTCCTTTGTTGAAAGCAGAAACATAGGGATGTTCCAAAAGCAGTCTACTAGCTGTAGATCCAGCGCTGATCAACAGATGGACAGTAAATGTTACAGCATGCAGGTAAGAGACCCATTTAACTGCTTAAGGAGATGACAAGGGTGCTGAGAAAGGAACAGGGAATAATTGGGTCATTACTAGAAACCCAGGAGCTTGTTGGCTCCTGGAAAAGAACAACAGGTCCCTATAGCTCACCCCCTCCCACTAGGGCAAGCCAGCAGAGAGGGGCAGAGACTATACCTAGGAGGCTGAGGCTTCTTCTCGGAGGAGGAGGGGGAGTTGGAGGGTGTGGAGAGGTCAGGCCCCGCTGAGAGATGTCCACGTCCACAAGCGACACGGTTTCACCTGAGGGATTCACGGACCAAGCATGTTATGGAAGCACCTTGCCCGCAGCTGAGGCCAAAAGCAAAGGAAAGCGAGCAAAGGAGGCTAGAGGTTCCCCCGGCTCTCAAAAACCTCAAATCCTAATGCTTCCCAGAGCTGGAGTCACCCCCAAATACCTGGGAAAGTCAGTTTTAAATTCTATCATTTCTTGGTCCTGTTAAAGGTCAAAGATTCTTTAGGATAGAAACACGGGATTGACAGTGGAAAGGCCAACTAATTGTGGTTGTGCCACTCACTATGTAACCTTCACAAGAGGTCTTTATTCAAATGGAACCCACACCATGTATGTTTACAGACAGGTGTACCAATTTCTGCCTTAGGGAGGAAGGTAAGCAGCTTGCAAGTCCAAATGGACATGGAAAGTAAGTGCCAGAAAAATGTAAGAACTGCATGGTAACCTGAATGCAGATAAAGGTCTCAAGGTGAGCCTCAACTTCTTCCCCAATGGCTTTCTACATCTAGATTTTCCAGAATATTCGCTCACAAGAGAAGCAACCATTTCGCATATCAACTAATTCCTAAGAGCTGAGACTACAAAGGCCAAAGGTGCATTTACAATCCTACTAATGAACCACTTCCACAGTCAGCCAAATCAGGCAAGCTCCAGAGGAGCCTGATGGGGGATGGCACATGGTTTCTTCTACTTAGAGCCTATCATGCAGTTCCGTTCTCTGCCTTATACCCTCCATCTTGCCATCCAAGCCCATCTACCCTCTCTCTACTTCAGTCACCAGAGGGTAAAGGGTATTTTATAATAAAGGTTGACAGACAAGTTTTGGTAGGTCTGACCCACAGGGAGAAGACTCTCAAGATTTCTCTAATTTGGCCCTTAAGGTGTTATTTCCATCAACTTTTTCTCATTCAGGAGGCTGAATTAGCCCCTTGGCTAGAATTTTATTATTTCCCAGTTAAGAAAATGAGGTAACCAGTATCTCTAAAAGGCCAAGAGCTGGGCTTTCAGAATCTAATACACAGTTTTTTACAAAGGTCTGGAGCACTGATTAAGGTAAGCAGAAGAGTTCCGCAAGGGGCACCCTGGCTGGCCTAGTCAGTAGAGCATGTGGCTCTTGATCTCAGGGTCATGAGTGCAAGCCCCATAGGGCATAGAGCCTACTGAAAGAAAAAGAAACAAACAAACAAGCAACAAAAGAGAGAGAGTGGGGGAGGCAGGGAAGAAGGGAGTAACAGAGAAAAAGAGAAAAAAAGCTCTGCTAAAAGTCATCAGCAGCTCTGGGAAGCTGGACCCAGACTCATCACATAGCTTAGTAACTGAGAGCCTAGCAGCCCAGAGCAACGCCATGAGCCCAGACAAGTGCGTTTCCTGAAGGGTCAGAGGTCTGGACAATAGGTATAGCACTTATTTTTTAAGATTTTATTTATTTATTTATTTATTTATTTGCAAGAGAAAGCATGAATGGGAGTAGGGGCAGAGGGAGGAGCAGCAACAGACTCCCAGCGGCACAGGGAGCTCAATGTAGGGCTTGAACTCAGGACCCTGAGATCATGACATGAGCTGAAGGCAGACGCTTAACCAACTAAGCCAGCCAGGCACCCCTAGGTATAGCACTCAAATAAAACATGTAATTACAAAAAAAAAAAAAAAAAAAGATGTAATTCAAAAGAGCTAAGGCTGTCTGAAACAGGAACATCAAACCCGAAAGTACAAATGTGGGTGAGCGTTCCTTACTTTAGAGGAAACAATGATTAAGGAGAAAGACATGCTGCCACAGGACAGGATTCTTTAATTCTGGACTTCGGGTAAGAACAGAGGCCTCCCTCTCCACCTGTGCTATTACAGACACCAGCTCAGTTGTTCGGACACCTCATGGCAGTCCATGTGGTAACAGGGGTCCCACAAGCTTGCTGAACGTCTTCTGGATATGTCCATTCCTAACTCATAATCCTTCCAGTCATCTTTTCGAGGGACATAATCTTCAAAGGAGTCTGAAGTTCTGATTTTTTGGCTGGGCCACTAACAATGAGGAGTACTCTGTGCCTGAGACCAGATGCCGTGTGCTAAAGACCTCCTCTGGCGCTTACTCAAGCAGAAGCTCCATATAGGACTGACATAAGGAAAAGGCTCCCTATCTGAACAAGCTCCCCATTAAGGAGAAGGCAGTCACCCAAAGTACATTCGACTGCTTTCCCTACTTGAGCAACTGTGTTCCCTCCTGCAAGAGGAAAGACTTAAATTAGACACAACGAAGAACTTCAACAGCTGCAAGAACTCCTGGCCCCCAAATGGGTAAGCCAAGAGTTCACGTAATACCCTTTGCCCAGAGTCTTTAAAAATAGACCAGATGATCGCAGATCATGTTGATTAGATCATCCACGAACTCCCCTGAAAGCAGGAAGAGGAACTATATGACTTCTAGAGAGTCCTTTATGCACTATTAGCCTATAAATTTGTAATTCCTACTTTTAATTTATATCGGTAAACCTGAACGGAGCACTGCGTACCTGCCATGCCACCTAATTACCAGCAAGTAGTCTCTACCTCCAACTAGAAAGCCTCCAAAGTCAAGAACACATTCCACACCATAAAAATAGCCTCTCCCCAACCCCAGCGGACATGGAATGAAGGAAGTGACTGCAGGCCCACCAGAAGCTTGCTCTGTGGGGCATCTGTAAGCGCCCCCTGACAGGTCTTAGAACCCTCCCGCTTTCAGAGGTCAGAAGAAAAAGAGAGCTGTCACCCTTACCTGTGAACAGGGGGCTGAAGGAGACCGGAGAAAAGGCACTTTGAGTTCTTGTCAACCTGGGTTTCCTAGGGGGTGAGAGAGCACACAGAAAATGTAAGGGAGGATGGGGGATGAGCACATATGCGTCACTACGACACTCAAGTCTAGATACACTGAAAAACCAAACAAATCCCAGTCACTGTCAACAACACTTCTGTAATAAAGCCTAAAATGTAAAGGGGGAGAATGAAATAATTCAGGCAATTTCTTAAATAAATTTCGCTCTGAAGTTCAGCCTACAAAGCAATGAGAAATCCCTTTAGATCTCTCCACACCCAGCATAATGGAAGAGTAAAACACCTTGAGTGGTAATTAGCAAGTCCATTTCTAGAGGAAGGTAGACAGATGCAAGGCTGATTTTCATAATGGAGCCAAGACAATGGCTCTTGACCTGAGCAGGTGCCATTTTGGAGCAAACGCTTTCCCTACGGCCCTGCCCCAAGGCGCAGAAGGTCCCAAAGGGAACCAGGGAATAGATCTGGACTTGAGAATGGCACAAGAAGCACAAGCAATGTTAAACCACTAAGATCCCCGATTTCTATACAAATGCCCCCGAGCCATAGGGCAAAGCTATCAGCTTACTTGGGGGACTCCCTCAGGTTAAGGGCTCTGCCTGGCTCCCAAAGAAAATGGCCCTTCCCCTCTCTGAGCGGCCAGTCACACAGCTCTCCCCATGCTGCTCCAGGGAGCCAGCTGGAAAACCCAGATCTCCCGTGAAAAGATACACCACAGGTAACTTCACTTTGTACCAATTGCAACTGGCTTTTCAGTGAGAAATGAAAGAAATCCAAAAGACTCTGACAAAGACTTTCTGGCCAGAAATGTGCTAAGTTCAAAAACCTTACCTCAGGATGACTAAATTGACTACAAGGTAAAGAATTTGCAGAAGTGATAAAAATATGCTATATCTGGACTATGGCAGAGCTTATATGACTGTATAGGCTTGCCAAAATTAATAGAGCTAGACACCTAAAAAAAAAAAAGGGGGAATTTTAGGTGGTCATAAATTATGCCTCAACAAACCAGACTTACAAAAAGAAAAGAAAAAAAACCCCACGAATTGAGTGCCTGACTCTAGGTCTTATACCCGGCTCAACTTCCAAAATTACTCTCACCCAAGGACCAAATAAAACTTCAAATGCACCAACAGAGAAGCTGCATAGAAAATCCAAAATGAAACCCTATTTACATTATTTTGACTTTGGAAGATCTTTACACATTTGTTTTAACACAGATGTCTAAGCTTCTCAAGACTCCCTTCAAACAAAATTTCAAAACCATATTGTGAAGACCTTACTCAGAAACAGCCAAGATGCTGGATTCCTACCTTACGCTCCCTCTGCGACTTCTTCCACACTGAGACTTCTCATCTAACGATAGCGCCGCCTATGCCTGCCCCACCCGAGGTACACACAGGAGAGACATGGCCGTGTCAAAACAAGACACAACCACAGAGTCCTCTGTTTATATAAGTTGCCTGTGACAGTCTGCAGCCTAGTTCCAACCCTCTAGAGGGCTGGGATGGAAAGTTAATTCTGCTGGACATGAACTTTAAGACTGAAGGGCTTCCAAGCTGATTTTTATTTGATAACTTGTGGGTACAACATGAAACCCAGCAAGCAGAAACCCAAAGCACTGGCCTCTCAAAGGGTTCACACCTCAGCCACTTGGCCGTTTGCCTCTTTTCAAAGGAAGCTGCATTACTCTGCCATCTGCCCATGCTGGGGACGAGTCTCTTCAGTGCCAAGCACTGAAGAACGGCAGTACCCAAATGCACACATCTTGCGGGGGCCTTCTCACTGCGGCTCATCTTCTCCCCCACCCCCGGCATTTTGCAGAAGAAAATCATAGTTTCTAGGATCTGGAGAAAGAAATACATCAGAATCTGAACATGGGCAGAGCCATTTGAGAGCCCTGGGATGGCTTTTTTTGGCAAATAAGGGGGCCTTGGGGCGGGAAGCTTGAAGAGGTAGAAGGTCTAGGGGGCTGATAGGCTAATAATAAAAACAAGTGCTTCCTTCCCTCTTCGGGTAGACGCTAACTAAAAATCCTAAGCAGTTTCTGTCTCAAGGATCCTGAGAGCATTCTAATGGCAGTCATTCATGAAAAGACCAATCCAGACAACTATAAAAAACAAAGCAAGGGAACGATTAACATAAAATTGAGGATGGTGGTTCGTGGGGGAGGGAAGAGATGTAATCAGGAAGCAACACACAGGGGTCTTCAAAGATACTAATAACATTCTACTTGCTAAGCTTAGTGGTGGGTACCCAAGTATGCAATTCATTATTATTATAGTACATACACTTTATGTATCTCCTTTTGTAGATCTGAAGCATTTAAAATGATAAAAGCCCATCTAAGCTGGATGGGCTGTTTTGGGAAAGCAACATGAATGATTCAGCTCCAGTAACATTTTTAAATAACCCTTCCATACTACATTCCCATGTTATTTTATCCTCCCCAGATCACCCTGATCACCCTGACAAGCATTAGGGTGCAGAGTTAAGTCATTTTAATTCTGCCAGTAGGCCACTTGCATCTTAGCAGTAGAAAGACTTGAGCGGTAGGGTGTGGGAGGATCTGGTGGGCTGTATCTCACATGGCAGAAAAGGACAGGAGCAGCAGAAGACCTGAGGCAAAGGTCTTCTTTGCGGCTAGCAGTCCTTTGTGTCAGCTACACACTGCTTGTGCTACAGATGACAAAGAGAATGCCTCTGTCCACTTCCACTCTGCAAATTACCGACTGGACGGCAACAGATCCGTGGGAGAAAATGGGTTACAAGCATTAGACTAGACGGGCCGTCAACACATTGATAAAACCATTGGCCACTTTTCAAATTCCTTGAAACCTAAAATATAAACCACGAAATAATGATGTCCTCACTCTCCCTTGTCCATAAACTCCATCTACTGATGTCCTAAGACTTAAACATGTCCTTTTCTACAGTAATTCCCAAACTCGGATGTCCAAACGCCAGGTTTGATGGCCACAATTTACCTCTGCGCCTGCTACAGCACACAGTGCCAAGTCAGCCAGCCCGTGCCATTTCAACACGTCATGAGCCAGTGTCTGTTCATGTGCTGCAGGCACAAAAACCATGTGTTCATTTGTAGTTCCAATACACAGACATCTGTGCAGCAAGGTCAGATCCAAAACTCCACCATACACCAACTGAAGAACCTATGGTGGGAACTTCCGGGGAAAAGCCAAGAGACGTGGTCCAAGGTCTAAAACCTTGGAATGATTTTAGCAGGAAAAATGTGAAGGAGTGAAAGACACAGGCTCAATGGACAAAGATTTCTGAACTTAGGTTGCTCACTCCAAAAGATGCCAACCACAACCACTCTGTGGCATAAGAGTTAAAAAGATCCATGGAGTATGGACCCAAAGCCCAAGCCCACAGTCAGAAATTCCTCAGCACACACCATAGAATCATCTTGCTCTCACCACGTCAGACTATTCTCAAAAACACTCCCTTAGACCTAAAGACCCGAGGAAACAGAAAAGGCTCTCTCATGTCTGCCGGGTCTGTCCATGACAGCAGGGCCCCAGACTAATGCCAAGGCAGCCTCCCTCTTTCCAGAATTCTATCTTTTTTCCAAACAAATAGATAGGAAACCACTACAGAACTATTCTCCATTTTCCCACCTCACAATTACGAAGACTGCCAGGAATAATCTCAACTGTTAACTCTGAAAAAACAAACCTTGAGAAATGAACAAGGTGCTCATTTCCGACCATGTGTGTATTATGTGATGATTTTAAAAGGTTAGATCAAATGCCATTTCTCAGCAAACACAAAGGAAGACAATCAGCTCAACATATGTTAAAAAGACAAGGGAACTTCACTGGTTTTCCTGAAATAGCAATTCTATATCACACCGAGGCCCACAGGCATCAAGCCCAGCTCTTTGAATTCCAACATATGTGTGTTACAAGGCCTAGCCCAGTTCTCCAGAAGAGAAACCTGATTAGTCGGTGGCCCACTTCTTCCTTCACTTGGAAAGGGTTCTCTAAGCTATCACACACAAGACTTAAGACTTGGTATATCCAGGCAAGTCCATTTCCCAGACTCTAAAGCATCTGAAAGGAAGTAAAGGTTTGCTTCATGCTAAAACACAGAAACTATTAAGCCTTATAATATGACAGCAGGAGGTACTTTCCAGTGATAACTGTGGGAAAGGTAGATGTGGAGAAGGGCAGAGAGAACCATACCCAGAGGTTACTGAAAAGCCCCAAATTACACAGCGAAGACTGCAGAGACCCGTAATTAATTCCAAACAACAATAAGGCAGGAGGCATCTACCTTCTGGCAAAAGACTGACATTTCTCACAGCCTCCAGGCCCCTACCAATCAAAACAAGAGAACAACCTAAAATTCCAAACTCATCCTTCCTCCCAACGGGGTGCACTTAGGAGGTGCAGATCCATAGAAATCACAACTACCCTGGCCAGACTTACCAAGTTTCTCACAGCTGCGAGGCTGCCAACAAGACTGGCACATCGTAAGCTGTGGAAAAGCTAACAAGCAAATCTAGCAGTACCAAATCCTAAGCATTAAAAAAGAAATACCAGTTCAATCTTATTACTTCTCTTCCAAGAACACAAAATATTCCATCTCAATTTCTCTTGTCTTCACTCTATTTCTACAAGGACAGGAACAAGACAAGAATCACTCCCATTTTACAGACGGAAAAAAAAAAAAGAGGAAGCATGAAGAAGACAAAATTGGCTACATTCCACAGACGCTGGAGTTGTAAGCAGAACCTAGGTGTTCACGTTCTCTGTGCAACATGCTGCCTCCCAACCAAACGTTCATACACAAATACCTAGCTCTTCTCCAATTCATCAGAGAAAGCCCTTGGACCAAAAAATGTAATTCTCCAGTGCCCTGAACTAAGCTTCTTTGCAGAGCTACATCCCAATTTGCTCTGCAGCAGAAATCTGTATTGTGCTTAGTGTGAGGGTTGGTAACAGAGCCGCCAATGACCATTAAATTCTGCTTCCAAAGGCAAAAAACCGTATAATGTTATATGCCTTTTCCTCTTCCTAATCTATTAGACGTAGCAACTAATTTCACGCCACACCTCATATTTGGCATCTCTGGAATCTTAGACCAAGTCCTGGTCAATATGGAACAAAGGCAAGATGGACCACAAGAAAATTAGCAGTCTATCCTATGTCATTACCCACAGCTTCAATCCTGCCCTCCCCCTCCTCTGATGAACATTTCCTCTATACTGGGAAGTGGAGCATCGAATGCAGAGTGTACAACAAAAGGAAGCCACACAGTTTTTAAGACCTGAGCTCCCAGCGTAAGTTCACTTGGAAAGCGAAGGCAGAAACATAGGTCTACTTGAGGGGGCAACACACAGCAACCTACTGACTTCTTCAGGGAATTTGGGTTGGGTCTGATCCCCAAGATGATATTCTGGCCCAACTGTTCAGAAAGGGCAGCAAAGTCAAAACTGACTCCATACTTTTCCTCTTGGGAGCACGCAAACTCCCCTGAAAGGAGAAGTCCAAGGATGAGTGGTTCCCCGTGGAGGTCACACTTCTGGGTCATGTGGGAAGCTTTGTAGAAATTCAAACTCTTGGGCCCTCAGACACACTGATCTCTTCCCAAAGCTCCCCACGTGATTCTGGTACACAGTAAAGTTCTCAAATCTATTGGTCTACCCATTCTTCAGCCTTGGGCTGTGGTTGCCAGTGTGTCTCAAGAATCCATCATATGAGCGGCCCCAAAACCAATTCCAATCTTTGTTTAGAACCCATTTGGCAGTGCAAACCACCAAGGCAGTTACCGCAAGGGAAGTCTCACTTCTTGACACAAACGTTGACAGCTTTTAAACTAGTATACAGACCTAACACTGCATGCCAGAGTGCCGTCCACCCTTCAGAAACGCAGAGAAAAAAAAAAAAAATGACCTCTAAGTTTGGAATTTTCATCAACTGGCCTAGAACCCCCGCACCCATGTCTATACCTCACACTTAGAACACTCACACCGGCTTGAGAGCAAACTATTTTCTATTCTCAGAGTCGGTGGTCAGCACAGGCTTGAGATACCAGGTTTATCTAAGAAACCAACCAGGAAAACATTAACATTTTGAATAGAGATGCCCAAACAATTGCTAGCCTACAGCCGCACAAGTGTGTCACATAATTTGTAGGCATGAGCATGAAAGGGGTGGGGAACACACAGAGAATAATAAGCAAAATGGTTACAGGACCAACTTTTTGCTCCTAAGACCAAACATTTCCTGCAACCTCCTTACCAGAAGTAATGGTAGACCGACACCTTGGAAAACTTTATAAAAGCCAGACCAGGGTGGGGGTGGGAGGATGGTTTCAAATCCTCTCCCAACTAGGGGGCTGCTAACCAGCTGAGAAATGTCACCGGACTGAACTAAGAGTGAAAACTGTTCCCCCAAATAGATCTGACCTAATGGGCGAAGTCACCACCTTTAGGCCTACGTCTCTATGCATCCTTATGAAAAGCACATCCTAAGAATTGTCAGAATCATGTTCGCAGCAGAATAAAAGGGATATGAAAGAAGAAAAGGAAGTTCTGTCAGTCAGCGCCCCCGGCCAGTCTCACCTCCCCGCGTCCAGCTCCCGGCCCGCAGAGCCTCCCATGTCTGTCAGGCTCGCAGCAGAAGCAGCCAGCTCTCCAGAAGGCCTCTTGCCGGCCCCATCCCCGCCGCCGGAGCCGCCGTTGCAGCTCTTCGTGCGAAAGAGGCGACTGAGGCGGATTTTGAGGGAGCCCTTCCGAGAAGGGCCCGCCAGTGGCCGGAGGGGCCCGGGAGGAGGCGGGGGCGGGGGCGGTTGCTGCGGCTCCCCTCTACCCAAGCGCCCTGGGGGGACCAAGTCCTGCATCGGGAAGGGCACCGGGGGTAATTCGGGACCCGGGGGCTGCAGCAGAAGCCGGCCACCCCCTCCTCCGCGGCCCGGGCTGCTGAGCTCCTCTTCCGAGCAGCTGTTCGTCTCCAGGCTCTCGGCCTCCGACTCCAAGCCCTCCAGGACCAACAGCGCGTCGCTCGTTTCCGTGGGGTCCTCCCCGGCCTGCGGGGCGGCAGCAGGCGGCTGGGGCTGCGGAGGGGGCGGCTGCGGGGGACACGGGCACGGGCACGGGCAGCAACCCCCACCGACCGTCTTGACCCCCGGCCCCGCCGGCTGCCCGAGCCCCAGAGCCGCCAACTGCGCCTCCAGTCCAGCCGCCGGGCCCCAGGTCCGCTCGAGCGCCAACCCCGGCGGCAGGGCCTTGGGGTCCAGGGCACAGCGGTGCCGGGGACACAGCAGTTCCGAGGGTCCCGGCTCCGGGGCCGCCTCCGCGTCCTCCTCCTCCGGCGGCCGACCCACGTTGCGGAACACCATCAGCTGCGGCGGCCGGGAGCCCCGCGGGCCGGGCCGCGCGAGGAAGGGTGGCGGCGGGGGACCATGGCCCGGGGGCGGCGGCGGCGGGCCTGGCTCGGGGACCGCCTCTCCATAGCCGAGCAGGCGGCTCAGGACGCGGTACGAAGCGGCGGCCGCCGCCGCCTCGCCGTCCCGGAGCTCGGCCCCCTGCATCGGGGAGAGGGAGGGGGAGGGCGGGCGGCTGGGAGCCGGGCTGGGGTGGGGACTAGGCCGGGCCCCGCCGGAGCCCCGCCCGCCGCGGCCCCCGGAGCGACAGCGCTAACGGCCGCCGCGGCCTCTGCCTCATAGAGGGGGGCGGAGGGCGCGCGGAGCCCAGCGCGAGCCCAGGCCGCGCGTGCCGCCGCCGCCGCCGCCGCCGAGGACCGCCCCCGGATGGCGTCACTTCCGGGAGGCCGTAACCACGCCCCCTCCCCGGGGCGTGCTCGCGCTGGCCTCCGCGGAGCGTGACGTGTAGTGCAGCTTGGGCCGCTATTGGCGGTGGGCTGCTTCTCGCCTGGCGGTTGGTCCCCTGCCCCGGCCCTCGCTTTTCACTTCCCGGGCGCTGAGGCCGAAGCCGCCCCTCCCCGGAGCGGTGGGGAGCGGCCCTGAAAAGCCTGGTTTGGTCCTGGCCGAGAGCGCCTGGTCTTGGGGGAGTATCTGTGATGTTGTCCCGCCTGTGCCGCCTTCGATGTGTGACCTTGGCCAAGTCATTTCTTCATTGACTAACCGTATCCCCGCTGGCATCCAGTAAAAGTCTGTGGAATGACACATGAATAATGTGTGTTCTAGAGCCAGCGGTGTGCTGGTGAATGTTGGACAGCTGGCTCTCTGGGGGCAGGGGGCATTGTATGCATATATATATATATATATATATATATATATATGGGTACATAAGTTTTTCATGAATTTTACTGATGTTTACATTGGATGTATAGCACACAATTTACAAATGATAACAATAGTATACAGTTGCAAATCCTATATAACCAATTGATTCTCAAGAATCCTTTCATTGGTTTTGGTCAAACTCGTGTGGGTAGCCAACCTAAGGTTTCAATTAATCCAGGAATTGCAGCATGAATGTTGGTTGATGTTTTCCTCAATGTCAGTGTAAGAGGAAAGTGAAAAAAATAAAGACAGTCTTAACTGTCAATTATGGGAGTGACTTGCTTCCTGAATCAAAACGGTTTTCAAATACTGAAAGAAATTTTCCTTAATTTGGGGGGCGCCTGGGTGGCTCAGTCGGTTAAGCGTCTGCTTTCGGCTCAGGTGATGATCCCCAGGTCCTGGGAGGGAGCCCACCTTGGGGCTCTTTGCTAGGCAGGTAGTCTGTTTCTCCCTATCCCTCTCCTGCCCCCTCCCCCACATGGGTCCTCTCTCTCCCTCCCTCCCTCTCTCTCTCTCAAATAAATGAATAAAATCTTAAAAAAAAAGAATGTTTCCTTAATTTTTGTGCTATTCATGGTGTAATGGCTACAGGCAGAACACATTAAATTTAAATCTGAATTACTAATTTTTCCTTTATCACTTTTTAAAATATAGATAATCAACAAAACAATAAATCAAGGGCCTGATTTGTAGCATTTGCTGATATCCATCGTGTAAATACTCCCACCATGCCTGATTTCAATCTTCAGAACACAGAGTTACTGAACACAGAGTTAGAAAGAGATGAACAGTAGGGTACCCTTATGTAATAGTTTCATCGTGCAGATAGAATAACAACCCCAGGAACATAGGTAAATAGTAATAGTAAAATTATTAGAAAGTGATGAGTTTTGAAAATTTTATTACCTATGTTTTAAACATCATTTAATTATAAGTGTACATAATTTAATTTTGAATAGTGGCTGTGTTTCACAACTGGCTTACAGAATTCCTGAAATTTTAACAGTTGGATTTCACAGTCCTGTATGAACCAGCTCCACAACACCTTCATACCTCAGTTTTCTCATCTGCAAAATCGGAATCAGGATGGCTGCTTCACTTACTTACAGACGTGCTATAAAGCTCAAATTAGAGAAAGCTTGCTGTGTAGAGGATCATAGACTGGAGGGGAGGGAAACGACTGGAGTGGAGATAGCCTGCTATATCTGAGATCAGTTAGGAAACCATTGAAATTGTCCCCAGAGAGATGTCGAGGGATGCAACAGATAGGAGGAAGGATAAGCCAGCAGAACTTAGCAACTTTGTACCTGAGGGTGCATTGGAGTGAAGAGGGTATGCATCCCGGAGCCAGAGAGAGGTTTTGTGTTTTTGTTTTTTTTTAAGATTTTATTTATTTGACAGAGAGAGAGCACAAGTAGGCAGAGCAGCAGACAGAGGGAGAGGGAGAAGTGGGCTCTCCGCTGAGCAGGGAGCCCGATGCGGAGCTCGATCCGAGGACCCTGGGATCATGACCTGAGCCTAAAACAGCTGCTTAACCGACTGAGCCACCCAGCCACCCCCAGACAGAGCTTTTTAAAACAGAAATTTTTCAGGGCGCGTGTCTGGCTCAGTCCAAAAAGCATGCGACTCTTTTTTAAATTTTTTTTTTTAAGATTCTATTTATTTATTTGACAGAGAGAGATCACAAGTAGGCAGAGAGGCAGGCAGAGAGAGCGGGGAAGCAGGCTGAGAAGAGAGCCTGATGTGGGGCTCGATCCCAGGACTCTTGAGACCATGACCCGAGCCAAAGGCAGAGGCTTAACCCACTAAACCACCCAGGGGCCCCAAGCATGTGACTCTTGATCACAGGGTCGTGAGTTCAAGCCCCGCCTTCTGTGTAGAGATTACTTAAGACTAAAATTAACATTAAAAAATAACATGGAAATTTGTCTGTAACCGGTGATTATATCCCTCCGTAGTTTCCCATCGTTCTTTGGCTGAAGAGAAAACTCCTTAAGGAGGTCTATGGGGTCCTGTGTGATCTGACCCCTGCTTCTGTCTGGCCTCATCTCCCACCAGCCTTCAGTTTGTTCTCTCTCCCCTGCAGTTCTGCTAGCCCTGTGTGAGACTCATACACATATGGCCATTACATAAGCTATTCCCTTTTCTTGAAAGGTTTATTTCCCTTCTCTTTTAGCTTAGTAAACTCCTATAAACCCCCAGGTTGAACTCACTCTTCACTACCTCAGGGAACTCTCCCTGCCTGGGTCCTTACTTCCTCCCCACCCATCTTCCAGACCGTTCCTTTGTCACACTTCCGACATAGCTGTGATTTTTCATCTCTCCGTGGGGCTATTTGATTAAAATCTTGTCTTCCCTACTGGGCTGTAAACTCCGCAAGGGCAGGAGCCAGATCTGTTTTTCACCCATTATGGACTCTTCCCGTGCCACAGACGCTTTCTGCCACAGAGTGGACCACTGAAATAGAAGCGTGGGATAATTGTTCAACCTCATGCTTTGCAAGGGGCTCCTGATACAAATTCACGTCTAATTCTGCACAACAAACCATTTTTCCTTGCCCATGAAGAAACTGTAGCTCAGAGAGCTATTTACCTAAGGTCACACAATTCCAGAAGGTACAGTGGAATTCAAAACCACCCACTCTCCTTCAGCTCCCTGGCAGGTGTCACTCAGATTTCTGGAGAAAAGAAGAGAAATTGCTATAGGATCACAGAACTCCAGAGGCTTAAGACGACCACTCAAGATCCCTGGCTGTCTCTGGAAAACCTCCCTGGCCCCAGAACAGATTAATTAGCCTATGAATACAAAGTCTGTAGCTCTGCAGCGCCCTCTGCTGTCCAGCTACTTTCTTGGCCTGAGAGGGAAGCTCTGTCCACACCTGGTGAGTCCCCATCTAGGGTACCACCCCAGCACCAGAGCACACAGAGACATAGGGCAACACATCCAAGCTCTTCATTTTTATTTATTTATTTATTTGTTTGTTTGTTTGTTTGTTTATTTATGTCTATTCATTCATTCATTCATTTATTCATTTATTTATTTATTTTATTTGTCAGAGAGACAGCCTGAGAGGGAACACAAGCAGAGGGAGAAGGAGAGGGAGAAGCAGGCTTCCTGCTGAGCAGGGAGCCCAACCCAGGGTTTGACAAGACACTGGGATCATGACCTGAACTGAAGGAGACGCTTAATGACTGAGCCACCCAGGCACCCCAAGCTCTTTCTAAGGCAGGGCAAGGAATACTGCCTTTCTCCACTTCCTTAAATGTCCAGGCCTAGAGCCCAGGTCCTGGGAAAAAGCATTGAAAATTCAGCTTCAAGCAAAGGAAGTGTTATCTTTATATGAATTGAATTCGTGTGTATTTGTTGAATGGGTCTTGTGTCTACACATCTCTCTTCCACTGAGGCCCATCTAGGTGGTCCCTGAAGTGGTAGGACCCTAGTTTCAAAGGTTATGGAAGAGAAACCCAGATAACTGAAGCTGCTCCTGAGGTCACTTAGTCGTTCAGTGGTGGGCCAAGTCTCGGGGCTGCAGTGATGAGGGAGACAGGGACCATCCCTGCCCCTCTAGAGCTCTCCAGCTACTCTGAGTCCTACTCACGCCATTTCCTGGATGGACGACCAAGAGCAAGTAATCTAGTATCTTTGAACCTGTGTTTTATTGGCAAAAATAGTTCACTAATAATAAAAATAAAATAAATAAAATTAATTAATTAATTAATTAATTAAATTTTTTAAAAAGCCCAGGGGCTTTTGTGGGGGTTAAATGAAAGCTTACACAGAAATGCAAAAACACGACACAAATGTTAGTAGTTATTGTTATGAAAAGCTTCTTGGGGGATCAAAACGATTATTATTATTATGTCTTCATACAGTGTGTTCGTGACCCTCCACTAACAGTAACCAGTAAGACCCAGAGCTTGGAATGGTGTCTTTTCCCCTCCATCCCTCTCTCTTAGCACAGGGAATCACAAAGGCTGAGGAGAGAGCTATGCATGCGTCCTACAGGTCTGACTCCACTCACAAGCAGCTTCATGGCTTTGAGAAGGTCAACGATGCCCACCCGCAGCTTTAGTCTCATTTTCCTTCTCTATCGGAAAAAGGTCTGGGCTAGAGGCCCTTCCAATTCTGCCATCATAGGCGTTCTGCTGGGCGGCTGCCCTCAAGCCCCTCCTCTCCCTCCCGCTCTGACGTTCTCACTTAGGATCCAATGCAGAACTGTTTGCAGAGCCCACCAGTAAAGGAAAAGGAGTTTCTAAAATCATCACCCATCCCTTCCTGCATACACTCAGTGCTCTGGGACATCAAAGGTTTAAGGGAGTGGGCAGAGCGAGAGAGAAAGAAGCCAAGAGACAGCTTGTGTATGTGGGGCCAGATCTCTGGGAGTGGGAGAGTGGAGAGCACAAGAGTGATGGAAGATGGCAGGAGAGGAAGGCTGGAGCTTTGTTCTATGGCT